AAGTGTATAATATCTGATGGGGATTACTTTGAAGGGGACAAAATAGATATTCATGAATAAATAAATAATTTTTGAAAAAACACAAAATTCGCGATACTTTTTGAACAGACCTCTTATGATGATGTTAGGGTAACTCCGGTATGTATATCGCATTTATCGAAAACTTAATTTATCAGATATTATTTATTATATTTAAGATTAAATATTTTATTCTGATAAAAATGTCTACTACTAAAAAAAAATTAAAAATAAGAAATATAAAAATATTTAGTTTTTATGTAAAATTAAATATAAGGGAAACTTTTAAAAATTTTTGCAAGAGGGCTCAAACCGAAACTTGTAACGTTATGTAATTTTACCTTTGTTAATTGAAATATATTCTTTTGTTAATTTCAAAGAAACGTGTTGACTCTTACTTTGCTCGTTACTTATTATTATTTGGATTGTATAGAAAGAGTCCTTTGATTTGTTACTTACTTTATTCAAAAATACTTGACCATACTCGTGTATAGGTTCCTCGTTCATCTGCGGAAAAACGAATATTGAAAACAGGCAATTTCCTCACGCGCATATTTGTTTATATCTGTTATCGTTCCTCGCGATACACTGTGAGTGCAAAAAAAGGATAGGAACGAGCTAAAAACGGGCTAAAAACAATCCATATGAAGTCTAAAAACGGTGGAAAATTTTTATAAAAGTTGGATCCGACACCCTAATAGCGAGCGGCAGGAATTAAGTTACAATAACAATCTACAATAATAATATTACGAAGGTAAATCAAATATAAACCGGAATTATTTTTGTACCCGTTGTGAGGTGGACAAAAAGGGGTGCCTTTTAAACGTTACAGTTAAGGATGCCTGATGAAGGTCTCCCCCCGTAGAGGACCCCATGCTACCGTTTCTTTAGTCAGTATCATGATGTCAGAGCAAGAGGTATCTTCATCCATTATGCAACGGGTTATTATCAAATTTCTTACGAGAGCGTAAAACCGTCTAAAATTTTGAGAAGACTTAAGGCACAGTTCGAGGACAACACCCTTAAAAAGACTCAAGTGTATACGTGGCAAAAACAATTTTTAGAAGGACGAGAAGCAGTTGAAAATGAAGGCGACCAGTAGGTATATAAGGAGGATTTTAATCCATGTGACTAGTGGAGGGCGCGGGGTGCGGGGGGGGTGTACTCGTAGGCGCGGGATAGGAAAGGGAAGGTGCGGGAAGATTCCGCCGTCACCGCTGCCGCCACCGTCGCGATCGCCGCCGCCGCTGTCGCTGCTGCCGCTGCCGTCGCTGCCGCCTTCTGTATAATGAAAAAAATAATATAAATAAAGAATATATAAAAATAATAATGTAT